TCAGTATGCCAAATTGTAAGAAAATTGTAAGTTTAATCTTTAAGATGTCATTCAAACGTCATTTTTGACATTAAAATCTATTTGTGATGCAAAATGATCAAATTTGACAGTTAAAAGATCAATTGATAGCAAAAATTGAGGTTGACATGTCAATTAGAATGTCAAACTGTAAATTTAATCATTAAGATGTCATTCAAATGTGACTTTTGACATTAAAACCTACTTGTGATGGTACATGCTTAAATTTGACAGTTAGAATGTCAATTGGTAGCAGAAAATAATGTAAATATGTCATTTAGAATGTCAAATTGTCAATCTTGTCTTTAAATTATCATTTAAATGTTACTTTTGACATAAAAATCGCCTTGTGATGCGATATGATCAAATTTGACAGTTAGAATGTCAATTGGTAGCAACAATGAATGAGCGCGTTCACCAACTGTCAACGTTTGCAAACGGAGACCAAACTGTTGGCAATATTTTAGGTGAACGCAACCCTAACTTCAAACGTGTTTGGTAAACGGCCGCCATTTTATCAATCGTAAGATTTTGCCGTTAGCAAACGCAAACGGTGTTTAGTGTCATCTTAAATTTAAAATCAACAAAACGAATGGCAGAAGTCCGAAATTATTTATTTAATGGGTTAGTGTATACTATGTTTGAAAATGAGGAAATTCATAATAAATTGAGCGGTATGCACCTATGTATGTATGTATGTAGAGAGAGGGGTGCGTAATTTTTACGCGCACTTAGGCCCCAGTGGGCCCCTTGTGCATACTCCCTTGGAGGCTCGAGATGGTAGAGAAGATCTCGTTAGGTATGCTCGCGGTATGCACCTATAAATTAATTAAAATTGTAAATAAATGTCATTAAAGCGCCATCTGTTGTTATCAAACCTAGTAAATATGTCTATAGAAAAATCGCAATCGTAACCCGTTTGCGTTTGCCAACATAAACGGAATTCTCTGGTGAACGCGCCCAATGTTATTTAGAGTGTCATACCGGTGGTCATACTGTAATTAATTAATAACTCGGAAAATTAATTAAAACTTAACCTTTATCAAATTACTCAAAACGTCAAATTTGACATTAAATATCATTTTGTTTAAATTTACAATTTTCTTACAGTTTGATATTATTCTAAATGACATGTCAACCTCAATTTTTGCTACCAATTGACATTCTAACTGTCAAATTTGATTAGTTTGCACCACATGATGAAGTTAGATTAAATGTCACTTCTGACATTAAAAGCTGCCAAAATTTGAATGTTTGAATGTCAATTGGTAACAGAAAATAAGGTAAATATGTCATTTAGAATGTCAAACTGACAAATACAGAAGAATCTAGCACTGAATAATAATTAAAACTAGAACTAATACTAGACCTAGAAGTAGAATGTTTCAAATCTTATTTTATTATCATCATAGATGATAAGAGAGAAGATCATTCTATAAGTTCCTAAATGTAGTGCGTTCCACAGGGCTCAATGCCCATGCTACTCAACATTTTCACCACGCAACATCAAATTTTACAAGATCGCTGTGAAACTAATATCTTCGTGAGTGCTGTAGGCTCATTATAGTTTGTTGTTATAGATGAAAATAAAGTATTCCATTTTAAAACTAGTGCTGTTTATANTCACTTTTGACGTTAAAATCTTCGTGTGAGGCAAAATAATCAAATTTGACAGTTAGAACTTCAATTGGTGGCAAAGATTGAGGTTGACATGTCATTTAGAATTCCAAATTGTTAATTTAATCTTTAAGATGTCATACAAACATCACTTTTGATATTAAAATCTAAATCTGATGCAAAATGATCAAATTTGACAGTTAGAACGTCAACTGGTAGCAACAATTAATGAGCGCGTTCACCAACTGTCAACGTTTGCAAACGGAGACCAAACTGTTGGCAACATTTCTGGTGAACGCAACCATAACTTCATACGTGTTTGGTAAACGGCCGCCATTCTATCAATCGTAAGATTTTGCCGTTACGTGAAACGGTGTTTGGTGTTATCTTAAATTTAAACTCAACAAAGAAGAATGGCAGAAGCCCGAAATTATTTATTTAATGGGTTAGTGTATACTATCTTTGAAAATGAGGAAATTCATGATAAATTGAGCGGTATGTACCTATAAATTAATGAAAATTGTAAATAAACTTCATTAAAGCGCCATCTGTTGTTATCAAACCATATGTCTATAGAAAAATTAGCCGTTCACCAAATCACCAACGCAATCGTAACCCGTTTGCGTTTGCCAACATAAACGGAATTCTCTTATTTAGAATGTCATACCGGTGGTCATACTGTAAGAAAATTGTAAATGAACGTAGCCAATGATGACATGTTGAACCTGGAAAATTAATTAAAACTTAACCTTTATCAAATTACTCAAAACGTCAAATTTGACATTAAATACTATTTTGTTTAAATTTACAATTTTCTTACAGTTTGGCATTCTAAATGACATATCAACCTTAATTTTTGCTACCAATTGACATTCTAACTGTCAAATTTGATTAGTTTGCATCACATGATGAAGTTAGATTAAATGTCACTTTTGACATTAAAATCTGTCAAAATTTGAAAGTTTGAATGTCAATTGGTAACAGAAAATAAGATAAATATGTCATTTAGAATGTCAAATTGACAAATACAGAAGAATCTAGCACTGAATAATAATTAGAACTAGAACTAATACTAGACCTAGAAGTAGAATGTTTCAAATCTTATTTTATTATCATCATAGATGATAAGAGAGAAGATTCTATAAGTTGTAATCCTAAATGTGGCCACAGCGTTTAACAAAGAATTACTTTACAAGATACACAAAGCTCGAGACGCAATCACCAAGATTTTCACCGCGTTCCACAGGGCTCAATACTCTTCTCCATGCTACTCAACATCTTCACGATGCAACATCAAATTTTACAAGATCGCTGTGAAACTAATATCTTCGTGAGTGCTGTAGGCTCATATAGTTTGTTGTTATAGATGAAAATAAAGTATTCCATTTTAAAACTAGTGCTGTTTATAGCTTGTTGAAACTATGTGATGGATCTTTGGAGCTTAGGAGTTGTTTTAGGGTTGCGAGTATTATAAGCAATGTTCGAAGATCTAGATTGTGGGGACCAATTTGCTACTTAGGCAGGTTTAGATTGTTAATGGAACCGTTAGGCTGAAAGTGAGTTTCGTTTGAGAACACAATCATTCCTAACATTGTGTCTCCAAAAGCTAATTTATAGTTATTGAACTACAGCAAATTTTATGCAGGTTAAAATCGAGACACTCCTAAAACCCATGCAACCCAAGTCAAGTTTCATTGCAGAACCATGTAGATTTGCAGGACGAGTAGTACTGTGCATTATGGTTTGTTACGATTATGCGACGGTTGAAATTCGAATTGATGATGGGATTGTTTGGACTTACTTGGTGTTTGGCGTTGTATTGTATAGTGACAATTCTATGATGTAAGCCAACGAGTTTGTCTAGGTATAGTCGATGGTTGTGTGGTGTAGGTTGTTTTCTAGTATTATTGTGATTGTTTAGAGTTACTACGTGTGGGGATGGTTTTGAATTGTTATTACTGCAGGTGTTGCTAATTAGATGTGTAGTAGTAAAAGTTGTTTCTAAAACTGCAGAGATAAAGAATCTTTCTTCATTAGTATTAAAAACATCATGTCATACAAATCGTAAAAAAAATTGAAAAGCAGTGTATTTGTTGCCATGATTAAATCTACTGAGGTCCATATCATATTAAAAATATGCCACAACTTACAGAAACACCCTGTATATATAATTACTTTTATATGTATTATACAGTGTGACCCGTATAAACCCATTTCAAAAGGCTAAATGCAGTGGTGTACTCAGATTTTTTGTAAAAAATTTCCTAATATGATTTCTTCATTTTTAGCACCTAAAAAGTGAAATAGTAGCCCTTGATTTTTCTAAGAAAAATATGACTCTTTGTCCGAAGGTACAGTTTTTTATAGTCTACAATTCAAAAAAAATTGTCAAAATCGGATAATAGATACAAATTTTACGAGGGTGCTCCGCTTTCAAATGGGTCACACTATATTATTATACAGGGTGTTTCATGTTTTTTTAGCAGAACTTTAACAATCGATAGATCATTTAAAATTAGCATAAAAACTTTATATAAACATAGATCGACAAACGCTTTGTTTTGAAGATACAGGGTGTTCAAATTAAATTTTTAAATTGATTTTTATTTAATATTACACGTGTATTTCAACCGATATTATTGAAATTTGGTATACGGAGGTTTTTTGGCATGACAAAGACGATTATGGAGTCCGTTTTACTATAACCGGTAGAGGGCGCTCAGTAATAATAATAATGTTAAATTGTTTTTTTTATTAAAGTGTTAAATTCAATTTTCTTGTTTATTGACGTGCAACCTGAACCACCCTGTATAGCAGGGTTATATCATTGATATTATTACTTTCCTATCAAAAAGAAAGTGTAACATCACATTTTGGCGGAAAAACGTCACATTTTTAGCAATAAAAAAAGGATTATATTAATGGAAACTCGACTCGAATTGGAGATTATCTTAAATGGCAATTATCGTTCGAGTTCCTTCTTCATTAACTTTAAAGACCAAGTAAAGAGCTTGAATCCAAACCTAATAAAACAGATGAGACGATTAACAAACACAGACATTATCTTTTTTTTAACTAACATTAACTTCTTTCCATCGACCGTCTGTCCACTTTCATTTTCCTCATAGCATAGGATTTCACTAGATAAAACGATTTTCTAAGTCATTTGAAAGATCTTAAGATGTTAACATAATTTATATAAAAAGATTTTTTTTGGGTGGTTTTGAAATGTGGGGAATTTGAACTACAACGGTCTTCGCGGATTAAATTTATTTTTTCAACTTGTTTGAAACCAAATCCCCACTTCCTCTGAGTGGCGGCAAAAGGAAAAACTTATATATGCACGTTCGGGCCGTGGAGGACGCAGACAAGAACTAGTTGCTACACTGAGGAAAAGGGTTACCAACTGTGACGGTTTTTTTTTGTATTTTATTATTTTGTGCTTCTTCAGTTTTTGTGTTAAAACTCGTGAAAAAGAAGGGATTTAGGATGAAGTGTTTTCATCAATTGGTAAGTTTTTTTTTTTATGATAATTCATTCATTGAACGAATAAATAAACAATGGTTCATTTCTTTGAAGAAATAATAAGGAAAGGGGGAAATATATGGGAACTAACTATTGTGGAAAAACTATTGTGAAAGAACGAAACGGTGAAAGTTCAAACAAAGGTTTTTTTTTAAGGGGGCGTTTTGAATTTATTTACAGTTTTCTATGCTAATTGAAAACGCACCAAAAATAAGTAACGCATTGTTCCCCAATTTGGAAAAAGGAAACTTTAAGAATTTTAATTTGGAAAAATTAGCTCCAATTTTAGAGCATTGAGTGAAAGTTAACACTCATATTTGTAATTAAAAATAATTGGAGTCTAAAATTTGAATTGCAATTAAAATAATTGGGTTTTTCGAGATTTCTTTGTCGGAAAAATAGAAATTGAAGAAATCTTTAAAGAGAATCGATTGTTAATCCAATTAAATTTGAATTCACTTTCTGTTAGAAAGAGCATAATAAGAGAAAAATAAGAAAGTTTCTAATTAAGAAAGAAATAATTATTTAAATTAACGAATTGAAGCATATCCATCATAGGCTCAGATAGTCGGGAAATAACTAAAAAAAACTGGAACTAATACTAAACTTAGAACTAGAAAAATGCGTCTTAAATGATACACAGCTAAACCAGAATGTTTCTACTTCTAGGTTTAGTGCTAGTGCTAGCTCTAGTTTTAGTTGTTAGTTTTAGTGTTGTTGTTATTGAAGAATAATAATAATAATGCCTTTTATTAATTGAAATCATTACATTATCTATAACTTAATAATGAAAGTATAAGTATACAGGGCGTAGTTAAGGACCTAAGTCCTTCTCTTCCACGCAACCCTGTTTTATACACAAAATAAACCAAAAAAAAAAACACAAAATTAATAAACAAATGAAAAAAACAAATATTCTTAAAAATAAAACCAAAAGACAAAGAGTTACAAACTAAAAACAACTAAAGAAAACTAATCTATAATACGGAAAAACAAAACAAAAATATTCCCTTTTCTATATCTTGCCTACATCTTACGTTAAACTTTTAATTATAGTGCTCACTCATCATAACAAAGTCTGTTCACTGAATAAAATAGATCTCAAGTTGCGTGCAAATACCGCTGGTGGTGCCGATTTCAAAGTTCCCGGTAGGGGATTGTAAAGCTTCGGGAGGGTGAAAGTAAATGATTTTTGAAATAGTGCTGTTGCATGCTGCGGAGGAGAAATTAGACCCTTATTTCTAACATTTAGATTGTGGATATCCGTTCTGAACCTTATCTCAATCTAGAGCTTAATAACAAGTAAAACTAGAACTAACACTAGACCTAGAAACATTCGGGTTTAGCCGTCTTAAAAGAGTTTCGAAAAATGACGTTTTTGACATAAAAACTGATGATATCTCAAGAATAAAAAGAATTGGGAGAAAGTGATTAGGACAAAAAATGTTCTTCATTAACATGGAGAACATATTTCATAAACGATTATATCTCATGAATTAGTAATACCAACCTAAATAAGTCAAAAATCGAATATTTCGAAAAATGACGTTTTTGACATAAAAAATGATATCTCAAGAATAAAAAGAGGTGAGAGAAAGTGATTAGGACAAAAAATGTTCTTCATTAACTTGGGGAACATATTTCATAAACAATTATATTCCATGAAATAGTTATACCAACCTAAATTAGTCAAAAAGCGAATATTTCGAAAAATGACGTCTTTGACAAAAAAACTGCTGATATCTCAAGAATAAAAAGAATTGGGAGAAAGTGATTAGGACAAAAAATGTTCTTCATTAACCTGGGCAACATATTTTATAAACGATTATATCTCATGAATTAGTAATACCAACCTAAATAAGTCAAAATGCGAATATTTCGAAAAATGACGTTTTGACATAAAAACTGATGATATCTCAACAATAAGAAAAAATTGGGAGAAAGTGATTAGGACAAAAAATGTTCTTCATTAACCTGGGGAACATATTTCATAAACGATTATATCTCATGAATTAGTAGTACCAACCTAAATTAGTCAAAAAGCGAATATTTCGAGAAATGACGTCTTTGACATAAAAAGTGATAATATCTCAATAATAAAAAGTCTTGGGAGAAATTGATTAGGACAAAAAATGTTCTTCATAAACCTGGGGAACATATTTCATAAACGGTTATATCTCATGAATTAGTCATACCAACCTAAGTTAGTCAAAAAGCGAATATTTCGAAAAATGACGTTTTTGACATAAAAATTGATGATATTTGAAGAATAAAAAGAGGTGGGAGAAAGTGATTAAGACAAAAAATGTTTTTCATTAACCTGGGGAACATATTTCATAAACGGTTATATCTCATGAATTAGTCATACCAACCTAAGTTAGTCAAAAAGCGAATATTTCGAAAAATTACGTTTTGACATAAAAATTGATGATATCTGAAGAATAAAAAGAGGTGGGAGAAAATGATTAAGACAAAAAATGTTTTTCATTAAACTGGGGAACATATTTCATAAACGATTATATCTCATGAATGAGTTATACCAACCTAAATTAGTGAAAATGCGAATATTTCTAAAAATGACGTTTTTGACATAAAAAATGATATTTCAAGAATAAAAAGCGTTGGGCAAAAGTGACTAGGACAAAAAATGTTTTTCATTAACCGGAGTAACATATTTCATAAACAATTATATCTCATGAATTAGTTATACCAACCTAAATTAATCAAAAAGCGAATATTTCGAAAAATGACGTTTTTGACACAAAAAGTGATATCTCAAAAATAAAAAGAGTTGAGAGAAAGTGATTAGGACAAAAAATGTTCATTATTAACCTGGGGAACATATTTCATAAACGATTATATCTCATGAATTAGTAATACCAACCTAAATTAGTCAAAAAGCGAATATTTCGAAAAGTGATGAAAAAGTGCCCAATTTTGTTACATATTCTCCATTTATATGCTTCATATTTACAGTTTTTCTCAAATGTCCACTTATTTTGCAACAATATCAAGTAATCTTACCTTTTCTATCTTCTTTAGTTTTGACCCCCTATCATTTTTGTTCTCCACAGCTTCTTGGTGTTTGATGTTCCTTCTAGGACTGTGTTGATCCCATTTCAAATGGTGAACATGTGACAATTTCCCTCCATTGGATAAGGTCCTTGTTCAAACTCACTTCTAGGATATCCTCCAACATTTTTGTGTGGTCCTCTTCACAAACTCAATCCAAAACTGGTTTTTTGCACATTCCAGCAACAAAGATTTGCTCCAAATTTGCAATTTAAATTCAATTCTCTCCTTGAAAGTTGAAACTTCCTTTGGAAATTGATATGATAGGATGCTGTACAGTTCCTCAAATGTCTTGTTTTTTAGTAATTCTAGGTCACAGAGTCACACAATCAATCATTTTTTATTTTCTACATAATTTGCTTCAAAATATTGTTCTAATCTTTCTAGCCACAATTTCAAATCCTCTTCTATTTTGTATGTTGAGATCAATCCAATTGTTGATCGGTATAAAACATCACCTTTTTCATTTCCCAGCATTTTAGTGTTGTTTAATGCTGAATAACAATTAAAACTAGACCTAGAAAGTTTTGTCTCCCAAAGTTATTAACACATTTAACCCATTCTTTTAATTTCCGCACAACGTATAATTACCAAAACATTTAATTTAGTATCCGAGTAAACGATTTAAACGGGATTTATGTAGCACGAGCGTGTTTTTAATGAAATATTAACGAATAAAACTCGAAATTTATAGCGTTTGATAAACTGTCAATTCTTGAATCACAACAAAACGAAAACAAAGTGAAGTTAGCTACGATAAGATGATGTTTATAAATAATTTTTTTAATTTGGTTTTTAATTTATTATTAATTATTTATAAAAATTCATTCAAACGATTTAATTTTAAATTCAAACGAATAAATTAAATTGAATTTGAATTAAAATTCAATAATTTTTGGACGTCATAGACAAGTTTACAAATAAAATCAAAAGATGGCGCTGATGATTAAAATTAACTTCATTTTAGTTGGTTCTAATTTTAGTTTTACATTTCACAAATATTAATATTTATTAAAATTGTTATTATTCCCTCTTAACAATATCGAATGTTTGTATTTATTTAATTATTATCATCTAGCTAAGAAAAGTTAGATTGATAGCAATCCCGCGCGTGCATTGAATTGACAGATTCCTTTAATTTGACATCTGTCAAATTTGATTAACGTTATTATTTAAAATTGTTATTTTACACTACCAAAATCGAATAATGCAAAGAATACCGTCTTAATAGATTAATGGGCCACTTTCTAAAACTTTAACTTCAAATTCTACATGCAAGGATTTATCAAAAATTTCTAGTTTGGATTTAAAAGGGGATTTGAAACCAGGGCAGTTTAAGAAGAAATATACTTTATACAACTAGTAAGTCTTATATAATTAATATAACGGTAGAAAATGCAAGAATTTGCGATAAAACTTACCTCCATAAATCTTGAATTCATATTATTTTGCAAGGTCGTTTAAGAAGAATTACAAAATAACCATGATTGAGTATTATCGATGCGGATCTACCAAAAAAAAAGCAATAAATAAAAATCCCAAAATAAAAATCCAAATACAATCGAGGAGTGAATATTAAAATGTCTTTACCTTGGGAAATCTTCAAATGGTATCTAAAAGATCCCATTCTTTCTAATAATAGTAATAGATAGTCATGTAATGACCAACGCCTTTCATATTTTGATATCCTTGAAAGTTTGCTCTCCACATTTGAATTTAGAACATGATGATTCATAATCGCAACGAAAATTCTTGATTTATCTGCAACCAAGCGTTTAAAAATAAAGATTTAGTAAAAAAAATACAGGAAATTGTATCTTATTTTCTGTTATTTTGTTATGCAACTTAACGAACCATTTAAACTGCATCAATTTAATGGTACGTTTAAAATTATTTGCACCTAATAGCTCCGGTTGAACACTTTTATTTAATTCTTTTCATAATTTACGCTCACGAAACTTCGTCAAGCGTTGAAATAAAGAATATGAATCGAAATCGTTCGTGTTTTAAGAAATTTTAATTGGTTCTTTTAATTCCAACATAAGTATATCTAGTTAAGTATTTGTAGTAAGTAAATATAGTCACTGCATGCGTGGCGGTTAAAATTGCGTAATAACCCAAGACTAAGGTGGTTGCAACACACTGCTTAAGATGAAAGGTCGCTAGTTCAATTCACCGGTTGCTCCAATACGCCACACAACAGGTTAAACAGAAGTCTATTTCCCACGTATCGAAATAAAACGTTATTCCAAACGTAGAAAAGATTATAAATAAACAAATAATCGTTCAAAAATAAATTTATTTCTTGAGAAATCAACCTAAAACTCCTCTGACATATTGTCCAGTTGCGCAAAATTTCAATTTGCGCAACGAGACTTTGTAATTTTGGGTCTCTCTAGCACGACGAAGTTTTGCAACCAAAAACGTAGCCTCAAGATATCCTAAATAAACGTTGATTGAAATTTCAATTCTAATTTTGAATTAAAAACCAATAAAACCAATTTAAACGACCGCCTTTTAAATTCATTATGAATCGTTTACACCTCATTTTCGCATCGTTTAAGATGCTCGATTCATAAATTGATATTGCTTAATATCCCCGAGGCTAAATACGACGAGATGAGACGATGCCACTTTCAGATTCATTCATAAATTTCGTACCGATTCATTTTATCGCTTTGACCCCGATAAAAAAAGAATAAATAAAAAAAGAAAAGGTTCAAATGAAAACGAAAAGAGTGTTGTTGCAAAATCTACTTCCAATCTGAATATTTAACAGTTAGTTTCCTGCACCGCAATCAAAGTTGATGGCCTTGCTTTCGACCTTCTTGCGTAATTTTAACTTTTAATGGTAAAAATTCGTGCGGGTTTTCCTCTACGCTACTTTTCCTCAATAAACCTATTCGTTAAATTAATTGCGCAACTTGAAATTGGTTTAAAGGTTAATTTTTCTTTTTGTTAACCGAGAGAGGTCGTTACGGTTCAGAAATCCGGTCGCCTTCACCACAACTTACAAACGTTTCGGGGCTTCAAACGTTCAGGTCACGACAGAACATTCAGAATTACCACGCCCCAGAGGAATCGAGAACAATCGGTTCACACATATATTTAATAAAATTGGATTCTTCTGACATTTATGTTTAATTTCAGAATAAAATTGATATGTCAAAATACTATAGCAATCAATGACGATATTTCTTTGTTTATCTCTACTGCTGCTTCTGCCCCTCTGTATAATTGGACCATGTTATGCATCACTTGACTAAGCGACAAATGAATAATGTTGAGTTTCTTGATCTCTCATCTTATCCATTTTACAAACAAGCTTCTTAATATTTCTTTTTGTTTTGTTAAAAAAGATCACATATCAAAGTCGAAATCAGATTATTAGTTACTAATTTACAAAATTAAAGTTTAAAAAAACTGGAAAAAATTCAAGAATCATCACGTGTACCAAAAAACACGTTAAAAATAAAAAGAAAGTGCGAAAAAGTGACTAACACTAGATTAACTTCAGTTATAAAACTTCTATTATATGATAAGTAACTTCAGGTTTAAAATGTCAACCTCAATTTTGACATATTTGTAATCTTCATTAAAAATCCTTTAAAATGAGTACAAACACGACATATTTATCTTCAATATTAATGAAGTTATGGTCAACTTCCGGTTAAGAATGTCAACGTCAATTTTGACATATTTGTAATCGTCGTGAAAAATCCTTTAAAATGAGTCCAAACATGATACGTTTAATTCCAATATTACTCGAGATATAAGCAACTTCCGGTTTGAAATGTCAATGTCATTTTGACATATTCTTAATTTTTATAAAATGTCTTAATATTTGTCACAAAAACAAAAATATAAAAAAAAAAAATAAAAAATTAAGGTTGGTATTAATATTTAAAAATTAAATTGCTATCTTCATTGTTGCTAACTTCGGGTTTAATGTTTTTTATTCTAACTTTTTTGTTTTTTGAGATAAGTGCGTCATCTTTGGACTCATTTTAAAGGTTTTTTAATGAAGATGACAAATATGTCAAAATTGACGTTGACGTTTCAAACCGGAAGTGATTGTATTTCCATTAATATTAAAGTTAAATATGTCGAGTTTGGACTCATTTTAAAGGATTTATTATGAAGATGACAAATATGTCAAAATTAAAAGTTGAAATCAAGCAAAATACTTTTATCTTTCTGTACTTTTATTAAAATGGATGTAATGTTATAAATTCTACCGGTTTCGGTCCTTTTATAAAACCATCTTCAGGAACTTTCAAATTTCGTCAATTTAATTTTAAAGCTCTCGTGACAATTTGCATCTTAAAATCTCTATACATCCATTTTAATAAAAGTACAGAAAGATAAATAGTATATTAAAAAACAAGTTTCGTAAGACACGTTTGAAATGCACGAATTCAAGTTGAAAAACGAGTGGCGAAGCCACGAGTTTTTTAATGAATGAGTGCTTTAAGTCTTATGAAACGTGTTTTTTATGCTATTTTTTGTAATTCGCGTTTTTATACTTTTTTTTAACAAAAATAAAGTAAATTTTGGCAATGTAGGGAAATAGGTATGTAGCAGTTGGTAANTCATTAAAAATCCTTTAAAATGAGTACAAACACGACATATTTATCTTCAATATTAATGAAGTTATGGTCAACTTCCGGTTAAAAATGTCAACGTCAATTTTGACATATTTGTAATCGCCGTGAAAAATTCTTTAAAATGAGCCCAAACATGATACGTTTAATTTCAATATTACTCGAGATATAAGCAACTTCCGGTTTGAAATGTCAATGTCATTTTGACATATTCTTAATTTTTATAAAATGTCTTAATATTTGTCACAAAAACAAAATTATAATAAAATAAATCAAAAATTAAGGTTGGTATTAAAATTTAAAAATTAAATTGCTATCTTCATTGTTGCTAACTTCAGATTTAATGTTTTTTATTCTAACTTTTTTGTTTATTGAGATAAGTGCGTCATCTTTGGACTCATTTCAAAGGCTTTTTAATGAAGATGACAAATATGTCAAAATTGACGTTGACGTTTCAAACCGGAAATGATTGTATTTCTATTAATATTAAAGTTAAATATGTCGAGTTTGGACTCATTTTTAAGGATTTTTTATGAAGATGACAAATATGCCAAAATTAAAAGTTGAAAGTTCGAACATTTTGATTTTTTAAGATAAATGCGTCAAGTTTGTAATAAGTACGTCATGTTTGGATTCATTTTAAAGGTTATTTTATAAAGATTACGATTACATAGTTCGTTTTTTTCTATAATACTTGTCAAGGTAAATTTTTTAAGGTTTCTGTTGGTATTAGTTAGGGCCCTTATAAAATTTATGTTGTTTTCCTGATTTTTATTAACATTTTCAGTAACTAAATAGTTGAGATTAAAATACTAAAAAAATTTAAAAATTTCTAAAAAGCCATCTCTGCATAGAGTACAGTAAACCTGTCTTTTTCACTTTCTATTTCAATGTAAATCGAACTTGCCGTATATCATCGTCTCTTACCCATCTACGTAATTCAGAACCATTCTTATTCTTTCTTTTGACTTTTTGATTAACGAAGCTCAAATAAACGTCAGTGTGACATATTTGTTTGAAAACATGATAAAACAAAACTCCCTGTTATCTTTGTCAACTTTACAACAATTTGACAGGTATTATAGAAAAAAACGAACTATAGTAATAAAATTAAAGTTGACATTAACACCTGAACATTTTTACTTAACCGTGTAAAATGTCAACCTCAATTTTGACATATTTGTAATCTTCATTAAAAATCCTTTAAAATGAGTACAAACACGACATATTTATCTTCAATATTAATGAAGTTATGGTCAACTTCCGGTTAAAAATGTCAACGGCAATTTGACAT